TTCGTGACACAGCAAGAAGTCCCGATAACAGTTCATTACTAAACTTTGTGATAAAAAATGCTGTTTATGGCTTACATTAAGTAGTGTTACTGTTTATTCAATTACTTGGTATGTGTTTTCTAGTCATTTTCCGTAATAGTTTGTGGAGCTTAAGTGTATGTTCTCATAAATGCAGTATATGGTCACGGTGTGAATTTGGAACTTCGTTTTAACACTTACCAGTGGTCCAGGGGAATCCAGCTTCCAGGAGTTGCTGATTTGGCTGAAATCACCAAGTAAATGTTTGGCGGGATTCTTAAGCAGAGGTCTAAAAGAGGGGACATTAACTCCTCATGAGTAAGTTAGCTTAGTTTAAGGCTATAGCACCAACTTGTGAGTTGAGGAGAACATTTCAAACTGAAGCCCTAAACATACTTTTTTCATATTTTTGGATTTATTTATTTTTTTTGCACCCTTTGCTCCCAGTTCAGTGAAGTATTTTGATTAAAATGGAAGGGGGGAAGCTCATTTAACTTCCCAACTAGTTCTAAGAGTTCTAGAAATAACAGAATTTGCAACTTGCAGTTTGCAAAGTTAACTATAATTTTTTGTAAACATATAATCTTCTTGTCAAATCATCTGTATTTTTTTTCAGAGGCTAAGCTAGATCTTTTTTTTTAATTTAGTGAACTGGAATATTAATTCAGCAGATTTTAGAGCTGTTTCATTGAAACACTTAAATGTTTTAATGCTTTGATCAGGTTTACCACTTGAACAGCTTAAAATCATGTATGACAAAGCACCTATGGAAGTGGAGCAAACAACTATAAAGCCAGATGATGAGGGTGTGTTATGGGTAGCTGTGGTTCTTTCTGGATAAGTACAGATAGTAAAAAAAAACAAAACCCAGGCTAAATTGATTCAATCTTTGCAGGTTAGTCTAAACTGTGTAGATTGAACCGGTAAGCAAGTGAACAGACATTCACTTTTGATTCTGGAAATGCAGCCCCCTCCCTGCAGCGGCCCAAGCTAGAAGCTGGTGGGCGCTAGAGCACACCTCCCTGCTCACCTGGAGCAGACAGTTTGGGCCAAGGCTAGCCGGCACACCCTGTCAGAGGTGGGTTGTGGGGGAGGTGCAAAGCATCCTGGGATGCTGGGGGATTGTGAGCCAACTTGAATCTGGAGGGGATCTGGGACAGAAGTTCAGTAAACTGATTTAACCTAAATCTGTTAAGTCTGATACTACATCCATCCAGGTTTATCTTAAACTGTTTTTGGCCATTGTAAAAGCAATTTATGCACACTGAACTTCTATTGTGTTACAGATTTGAATTGGTTTCCAATTATATGTACCGGTTTATGTGTATTTTCTATCCCTAGCCTCTAAGTTAGTGTCAAGGCTCTTCACATCTAGTTCAGTAAGTTAACAGGCCTTTCTTTAGTGGATACTGCAGCACTTATGGTCTTCCCTTGCCTTTTGGTTTCATAGTTCTGGTGTTATCACTTCCACATTTTTCTTTACCTTTGTTTTTGCAGGACATTTCCTTATCATTTGTTTTTATCAGATTTATCATTCCATCGAACATTCAGCTTACTCTTCTCCATCTGACTAGAGCTGATCATAACATTTTCCAGTAACACCTGTCCAATAGCGAACCGAGCTTTGATCAAATGAATGTATTCACAGAAAGCAGCTTTTTTTCTCAGTATTTTCTTTTTTCCTTTTTTTGGTTTTCAGCAGTTTTTGACTGAAAGGTTAATTTTGATTAGGGTTTAATTTTTGACAAATCAAAATTTTCCATAGAAGAAACGCATGAAAATGTCATTTTCTTTGCAACTTTCCAAGGGGAAAAAAAAGAGAACAATTTTTCTAACCAGCCCTGCATCTAACCATTTGCTTCAATACTGGAAGTGAAAGCAGCAGCAATGGTACTTAAAGGGCGCATCTACACGAGATGCTATGTTGCCATAGCAACAAGCTACGGCGATGTAGCTCGTCACTACGGCGATGCAGCATCAGCGGGCACTAACAGTGACACCACCACTACTGCGCTGTAGCAACGAGCTACTGCACAGTAGGGCTGAAAATGAGCCGTGTGCTGCCAGGACTCCGCAGTACCGGCAGATACTGCACAGTCATTTAGTGCATGGGATTTAGTACCTGAGCAAGCACTAAATGACTGCACAATACTAACTGTGCAATCGGGCATTTGTAGACGTGTCCAGTGTACATTAAGTCTGGCTAAACTAAGCTGTCTTTTTATTGCTATTCCTTGCTCACCCTGAAGTGAGTTCTGGCGTACAGAAGAATGCAGATGACCTCTAACAGATTTACAGCAGATGTTAGTAGCAGTCCATCATAACCCCATCTTCCTGACTGCTTTCTTCCATCTGACTCATAGTTTTCAAATGAAAAGCATTTTGATTGAAAATGGGGGTGGAGGGGGGTGTTTCAGAAACAATAGTTTTTATTTTCAATAAAATGGGAAAAATGAACAATCAGTTTTGTCTTTCTTTGCTGTTTTTGATCCTACCCCGTCTTTCTTTTGCCACTAAAAGCATGGAGCAGAGAAACAAAGGGGGAAAGAAAAGAGGTGGTGAGAAGAAAACTGAGGAAATGAGAACTTTCTTGAAAAAAAAGTGAATAAAGTCATTGTGGCATGCAAAGGACACAGACATTTTTGCTTTTTTCCCCCCAGCTCGACTTCTTACATCATTAGGAAACCATTAGGCATTTGTTTTCACCTACTGCATTCTGCATAATGAAAACTTTGCATTTCTAAAGCTAAACTGGCGTTTTCTTAGGAGATGTATTTATAAGGATTCTTTAGTTAGAGTTCAAGCCATGTGCAAACAGAGCAACTTTCTGGGCCTTTTTTCAAAGTCTAGCTTTGCAAACCTGTGCTCCACCCTCCAAGTTTAAACTCAGCAAGACCTTGAGGGTGCCAGCTTCTCTAATTTATGGCAGTGATATCAGTGGCCTTAGGCATCCTGGCAGATAGGAAAAGAATGATGGGGGGTTGTGAGGAATTCAACTTTCCATGACTCACAAACAGGCCAGCAAACAAAGCTGCTTTCTCTGGGAAAATGTGAGGAAAAGAGTAAAGTGGAAGCACCTTTCTACGTACCACCTTTTCTGTCGGGCCCACTGCTGCTCCCTCTGGGCTGGGAAAGGGAGGATGGACTTGGAGGTACTTTCTCATACAAGGTCCACCAGAACAACCGTGTTCTGAGACAGTGCTCATAATTATAGTCAGACTGAAACTCCGGGCTGGAGTTAAGATATTTCTGGTGAAATGTTCCTGACTATGGAATGACCTACCTAAATAGACAGGACTGAGCTTCTAGGCTTGACCCATCTTCAGAGCATGTTCAGATATGCTTTTCTCCCCAAGCCTGTTCAGAAAAGGACCTGGATACAACCATGATGGAGCATACAAAAAGCAGAGTAAGAAGCTGAACCTAAAAGAAATGACAAATCCATCACGGTCATCACTTTGGGATGCCTGGATTTACTGTCTATATAGTACAATATAGGGTATATTACATATACCTGGAGTACATATAGGATTTCCAGAAGGGAACAGTCTCGCTAGTGCAGAATGTGGCTATCCACCGATGAATAAAGTGGATGAATGAGAGCAGATTACTCCTATATCCAGTACCCTTTGCTGGCAACATGAAATTCAGTGTGCTAGCTCCCATGTGTAACGTTTTTAAGGACTCGGGAAGATCCAGCTACCTCAGGCAGGTGTTATATAGTTTGAGCTACAATGAAGTAAGTGAACTTGTAAAGGAGATAGGAGGCAAGGCATTCATAGCATCATGACCTTGCCTTAAGTAAGAATTATTAACATAAAGAATTCACACAAGGCTACATTTCAGAAAACATAAATACGTCCCTATCCTGCCAATGCATGTGTGTTTGGCTTTGTCCATTTGAATGGTTCACGGATTTCCATGGGATTGCTTACACGCAAAATTAAGTACATATATAAGCATTTGCAAAAGCAGGGATCAATTATCCACCTGCTTTTGCAAAGGACTTTATAGGGTCTTTAAATGCTAAGGGTGCTGAGAGCCTTAATTTGACATTTTCTCCAAATCAAATAAAATAACCATAGAAAACACCAAAAGATGTCACAAGCAACAACCACAGCAACTTGCTGGGGGTTTTACTGTTGCTGTTATTTGTTTACAATGGAAAATAAATCAAAATACAAAGTGGAAAGTCCTTCCTTAGGCAGCACTCTCCTTGTTTCATCTGAAGTTTTACCTTAATACAGGCTGCAGGGTTTGCACCTAAAGTAACTGACAAAATGGAGTAAAAGTATATATATTTTTTTAATTCCCTGTTTCTTTAAGAGCTCTCTCTCTCTCTCATTTTTCAACTGCCCTTCCCCCATTCTGCTGCAGTCAGCAGAATAATAAATCATCAAGTGGTACCCTGAAAGTAACACATAAAAAGCTGTAGAAATCTGAAGTTACAGCAAAAGGGAGGGGGAAAAAGTACCAAAAAAAATCTAGATGGTAATAAAGCAAACACAGGACTAATAAGTGAACATGCTTAGCAGCACAGACCTTCACTATTCTGCTTTTGAAGTATTCAATTGCAATATCATCTCATTGTCAAATAAGGAATACTAACCTAAAAAAAAAAAATTGCACATTTTTTAACTGAAATGTTGCCGTGCAGAAATCAAGAACAATAGAGGGAGAATCTTTCTCAGCCGTTAGGTTTTCAAATCAAAAGGGGTTTAAGCCGGGTGTTTGCTGCCCAGGCTAATGCACAATGAGAAGCTGTTTAGACTTTTGAACCCCGCTGGACAGATTAGGTTACAAGGCAGGTTTGATTTCAGCTCTGGCTGTCAGCAGGGGAAGGGTTAAGGGGAGACGCGGCATGTTAACTGTATCTGCGGAGATTCTGGAATGTTTATCCAGTGTTCAGATTTCCTGTTTGAGTGTTTGGATTTCCTGAAATCCCGGCTATCAACCCAAGTGCTGCCCCGCGAGCAGACGCTTTTTTTGTTCGTGCGGCTCACATGGTTGGCTTTCCTTCCTGCTCTCTTCCCAGTTGTAGTGCCTGTGTCTTCTCACCGCTCAGGGCATTCATGGACGCAAACCAAAACTTTTAACCTCCAGAACTCGGTGGATCCCCCTCCATTGGATTGCACTGGATTGGATTTTTTTTCTTACTGGGATTAATAAGTGAAGAAACATGGTCTCTTTCAGCTGCTTGTGGGAGAATATATTTTAGCCTAAGATGGAATAATGGCCTTAGGTTTGAGAAGCAAATTTGGAATGGGAATTCAAACCGCACAAGTCCTGGTGAGTTCCAGCCCGTTGCACCGAGGTGTGGTTGGTATTGTAACCTTTAGTGCTGAGACAGCGACCGAAGGGGAGCCTGTGAACTGCTAATCAAAGACATAGATCCCTGCAACTGAAGAGTTAGGATTTGTTAGTAATGCTGGTAAAGCCCATTTTTACTTTTGTGCCATGCGGGCTGTTTGCAGGGCAAGCTAACCATTAATGAACTTTACCTGAGCAAAACATACAGTTGGGCTCAATTCTGAAAATGCTTCCTCCTCCAAAGAGCCCCTACTCACGGGAGTAGCCTCCTTAATTTTAAGAATTGCTCCTGTGAGAAAGAGATCCTGGAGGTTTAGGGCCACTGCTGGTACAGTACAATATCTTCATCTTAACAACGAAGGCTTTTAAAAAACAGGGATTTTATATCTGGCTTGTAAAGATATCTCTCCTAGGCCCTTTTGCATGCCATTGTTCATCTAGTTTTAAAAGGAATTTTGAAAAAAGAATCAATGCGCCAATTTCTTCCTATCATCTTTCCCAAAAATGAGTAGCAGAAGTGATAATTTGGTGCAGTGTGTTACTAGGGGCCAAAAAAAGGGACTGTTTCGTATTGTAGGAAAATCGCTTAAAGATACACTACAGGAATAAAATATAAGGCTTAATGAACTTTATAACTTGGCTTTTGAATAGGAGGGTGCATGAGAGTGGCATTAGCGATACATTTTTAATAGAGCCGCAGTCACAAATGCAGGGTCTGATGGCCTCAAAATCAGTGACTCAGCATTTGAAGAGGAATTCTTAGGGCTCAATCCTGCAGACCTCACCAAGTCACATCTCCCATTGAAATCACGTGAGCATGTTGTCTGTCCACAACAGAAGCTGCCCTGTTGTAATGTATTTTATTCTGCCCTGAAATAAGTATCTAGTGATGCTGAACCTTTCTAAATTGTTGTCTGAATTACTTTGAGGGTTTTTTTGCTGTGGCAGGGGGATTACAGTGCCCCAGAAATTGCTTGGATACTAGGCAGCAGTTGCATTGGAGGTAGTTTTTAGTTTACTTGAAATATTTACACTTCAGCATTGTCCTCCCAGTGGAATAGTGAAAGCTTCCTGAATTTTAATTTTCAATATTGCGGGTCTCAGGTAGTAAGGCAGTTTTCAGATTAAAATTCTGGGTACCTTAAAGTGAGAAAATGCTTTGCCTCCTTTGCATTTGTAAATGGAAACTGCCTTTAATGTGCTTCATCCAGGTCCGTGAAGATTTTGGAGGTTCTAAACAATGGCATTTTTTAGTCCTCCCACATCTAGCACAGTACTTTAGATTGAATCCTGAAAGCGTGAGTCGAAGTCACCAGCAGATTTCTGTAAGCAAGGCTGACAGGATAAGCCTTTTCTCCTTTCCTTCCATTAAGCTGGCAGCTATGCTGTTTTCCTTGTATTCAGGTTGTGATGCTGAAAAGAAAATAATCACTACTTTACTTGATACATGGGAAGTCAAGATACCACACTTTGCACAAACACTTACAATCAGATGAATAGCTCAATAGAAACCAAGGAGGGATGTGAGTGAGAACTTCTGAACCACATAGGGATGTCAGATTAGACTTTTGGTGATAATGCTGTGTGGAAAAGACCATGCATTAATTTGGCTATTAGTTGATAGTCTCATCTCCAAACTGGCCGATCTACAACACTCGTAGGAACCTGAAATGAATGAATTTCTAAATCAGAAAGTCCCTAATGATAGTCAAATGTCAGAAAATTCAGAAGGTGAGCAGAGGTTAAATGTTGAAAAAGGCTTATCAGCCTCTTGGGCTTGAAAATATGGTTGACAATCTAATGAGAACAAGTTTTTTTTTCTGTGCTTTCTGGTTTGGGTTACGCTGGAAATGCGGTGGAAATAGCTTTTCTGGTGGTATTTTGGTATTTCCTCTTTTGCTCACACCCAGAACCAGGAAGTGTAGAAGCCTAACCTTTACTTCTTTGTGTGTGCTTTTTTTAATTGTGACCTCTCTCTTCCTTTCCTTTCCTTTTCTTTTTTTTAACAAAGCCCTCAAATATTTTAGAGCTAGTTTGATTTGGACGTTAGACATTATTTAGAACTCTTTCTGCAACTGCAGAAAGCTATTTTTCTTTAAATACAAATAACTAAAATACTAGTTTTAAATATTCAGAATGCAGTAGTTTCAATCCAGCTACCTATAGGCATGTGTGAACAGGACAGTCATAGACTCATAGAGAAGTAGGGCTGGAAGGGACCTCCAGAGGTCATCTAATCCAACCCCCTGCCTGAAGCAGGATCATCCCTGTCCAAACCATCCCATAATTTAAACCCTACATAAGACTACCATCAACCTGACACAACATAGACCTAATACCCTAACCTGCTACAGGTAAGGCAGGAGAACCACATCAGCCAATGTCCTACTTCTATAAAGGGTTGTCAGTATATGCTCAAGAGATCCCAGGTAGAGGGCCGTGCCCTCTGCTACCAATGTGACCATGGGGTAAAATTCCTTCCTGACCCAAATATGATGATTGGTCTGACCCTGAGTGGAGGGACAAGACCTTCTACCCAGGAACCTGTGGCTTTGCTTCTAGCAGGAGTATTGGGACACCCCTGCCCAAAGTCCCCAGCCTTGTCTGTAGCCAACACCCAATGCTTCTGGGAAGGCTTAAAAACACCCTGACACATATAGCAGAAAATCAGGGGGGAGCAGGGGCTACCAGCAAAGCCCAAATGCATGGAAAATATCGAAGGTAGAGCATAGGCATAACTATGCTTAGATCATCCCCAATCGTGGCTGCCCAACGTCTTCTTGAACACCTCCAGTGATGGAGAGACCACAGCTTCCCTAGGCAAGTCTTTTCCACTGCCTCACTATTCTAAGAATGAAGTTTTTCCAGATATCCAATCTAAACTTACTTTGCAATAACCATCATGGTAGCTCTCTCTCAAATGTTTTCACTGGTAGCAGAGACCAGGACCGAATGGGTATCAAGATTAAATTAGCTGATTATTCATTTTCTCTAGGTATTTTTTCCAGGTCAGGGTTTTTTTCATTCCACCCCATATAATCCCCATCAGTAAATACTGATGGGGAAGTCTCTTTTCCCTCCAAATTTTGTTATTCCATCGTTGTGCAAATGTGAGGATCTTTGACTCATGCGCTCCAGTTCTCTGTGTCTCATTCACCATTGTGCCTGCCAATCCTCCTGCTCTTCTTGCTATTGTTGGCAAGTATACATAAACAGGTTTGACAGGCATAGAGTCCTGAAGACTCAACTTAATACATACAGTGATGTGTCTCTGCTCCAAAGATAAATGGATCAGAGCAGCTAAGCCACTTTCACTGGATTGTTCCTTTCATTAAAAGCTTTTAAACCCTTCTTGTCCATTTTGCTTGTGTAAAAAAGCAGTGGAAAGTGTTTGTATGCATTTCCTGGCATGCAGATAGTTTTTAAATTTCAGGCATTTTTCTATAATTTCTCAAATCCTTCCTAGCAGTCAGTCATATTGCACAGCCTAATGTTTTTTGAATGGCTGCTTATATTTAAGGTGAAATTACCCAGAATTATGGGTAAAGTATGCATCGTTGGTATGCAAGAGGGGGTACATGTCTACGTGTAGACTTGTGTGTAATCACATGGGAGCTACGTGGTGGAATAAGACAACTGAGTTTGCAAAATTATCTCCGTGCCTGCGTACATGTGCAAGAATGCTGCTCAGTAGTTTTGTAGTCCTTAAAAAATAAAAGGAAAGAGAAGGACACTTACTTCATGGAATATTTCTTTCACTGAAGGAGAAGCCGCACATTTAAAAGAGGATCAGTGTTAGGAATAATGAGTGTTTTGGAACTGTGTGCTTGGGTTAATTCTCTTGCTTTCAGGTTGAAAGCCACCACTTGGGCTTTAGGAACCATCAGTACCGGAGATGCAAGAGAAGCAGAGACAGCAGGAAGTTCTTTTACAATCCTCCTGTAGTGCAGGAGGAAAGGGGATGGGGATAGGTATCTGTTTTCTCCATGACACAGCGCACAACCCAAGCTCCATCTGCTTGAGTGTGACTTATTACTCATGTACAGAAGTTGTACATAAACCTGTATAAGTGATCATGGTCTACACCCATAAGCAAGCAGAAGTTCAGTGCACATAGGCTGGCTTAATAATGACAGACCCCAGTCTAAGATAGACCTGAATGGATGCAGTCTCAGACTTAATTGATTTTAGGTTAGACTGGTCTATTGAACTTCTGTACCAGATCTCCTGCTGACTCAAGTTAGGTCGGTATCTGCTGGTATCTCAGGCTGCTTGTGGCCCCCCGCTAACTCCCCCATCGTGAGCAGGTGCACTAGCAGCTGGCCCAGGCATGGCTGCTCTTGCTAGCCCTGCCCCCAGGCTCTCACAAAGCCAATCAGCACAGCCCTGCCCAACCCTGCCTCCTTCCTGCCTATGGCCAGGTAGCTGTCAGCCACAGGTGGGAGTAGGGGGAAGGGAGCGTCTGTAGCTCAGTACTTTTCTATTTTTATACGATGTTTCCTAGGTCTCCTGCCATTGCCTGCCATTCACTGGAGCTCTGGGGGGCCTGATCCTTCCTTCTGTGGAGTTCCCTCTGTCCACCCACTGCTGCTAGCCGGGCTGCTGGGTGTGCCATGGTGACCCACTCTAGGGCTGTCCTGGAAGCCAAGGGCTGGGCATGGGGGCGGTCCACAGTGATAGGGGTTGGGAGTGTGGTCATCTGTGGCCATCAATCAGGGCTGGGCCAGCCACTTGGCTTGGCTTGGCTTGGCATTCTCTGCCAGCCCGGGGAGCCCTCGAAGCATGGTGGGCAGTATACAGGACCATCCCCACCCTGCTGACCTCAGCCAGTGCAGGCAGCCCACGTGGTTTCCTCACCAAAGGGTGAATGTGTATTCTGTTCACTCCTGACCTAATCTGTACCGCTTATAGAAACCTGCATAGGTTAGGTCGATTCTGCTTCAGGCTTTTTCAGTTCATAGCTTTCTAGGGCCGGAAGG